AAAGTGATCAATTTTCAAATTTTAAGCTTATCGAGAGCCTTTGTCCATGCCTTTGTGATGAATCACTGTTCTCTTGGGCCTGCACGCTAGGTTAATTAATTACCAATCGCCTCAGCTAGCCAATGGGAATTTAGCCGGCGGTTCGGCCGGCGAAAATCGAAAACATGGGTGATGGTTGCAGGCCCACTATCAGTTCCCTTGGGCCTGCACGCAGGCTAACTCGAGCGCGGTTTTATAACAAACGTTTATTATGAGCTTTTCAGTCATCATTTCTACATATGTAATGTTTTTAAAATACGCCATTAGATTTGTCCTTTCTTGTAAATGTTTATATGCTTTGCACCGATTTAATTACTTGTTACTACGTCTACGGATCTTGTTTATAAGATTGAAAGAAACAGTATTGTATTGTCTGGGACTAGAGCCCAATATTAGCAAATGTAAACATTTGATACTAGCCAAACAGAGAAAGTCTGTCAGTGATTATAAAATTTTGGATTTAGTACATAGTATTCGGTCTTGGACCTGGTCTTTATTAATCATAATATTTTCCTAATATACTAAATCTATATATCACAAATTTACAGTGGGTCAGACGCGCACAGACTGTCATACGAACAAACATAAATTTTCGAGTTTTCTACTTCTACTAACATTTTTAAAGTTTTCATTAATGTGAATCATCTGTTTACTTCTAGTTCATTAGTCATTAATATGCTCTAAAAAACAAGGCTCTCAAATATATTTGTATATTTATTTGATAGTGTCATAGTGATATATGCATTTACAAGCAATCCTGGATATGATAAAGACGATACAAGCTCCATTAAAAAATAACGGTATTCTATTCCACAAAGCAAAACATTTAAATCTCACTTGTATTATTAAGAATATATATAAAGCAAAAAATTTAAACTTGTGTGAGTTGTGTCAAAACGAAAGCTGTTTATAAAATTTATAAATGTTGTAAACACTACTATTAATATAAAGTGCCCATTGAAAGACATAATATAGTATACTGTCGTTTGACTTATCTTTGATGTATGATTTTAATAGTCAACATTCTGGATACAGTTGGCGCCTTGGCGATATTTCGGAAATCAAAAGATCTCGCATCTAATCTAATTCAATCGAATAAAACACAGACAAGCCAATGTTGCTTGGAGCACATTGCGTTTGTTGCTGCTTACACATTCGAATACAACACTTTACATTAATTCAATACTGCGATTGACTACATTCAACTATAATAATTCACAAAACGAAGTTTGCTCAATATGAACTGGAGGTGAAAAAACCCACCTGCATAAAACAGGACGGAGAATATAAAATCACACATCTCTAACTCTAGAGTTCTGACTATAAATGTCATTAAATTCAAACTTATATAACTCCTGGGAAAACCTCGGAACAATTAAATGGAAAGTTCATTATTCTTCATAAATCTAGATAGATAAGTTGGAAGACACCTCATACAGTGTTTTTGTTAAAGGTTTAATGTATTTGTTTTTCGATTGAACACATTTCCATCCACCATGGGCCTGCAAGGATAAATCTGATAAATGTGAACAACCGGGATCTGAAGCACCTCCGCTTCTTAGACTATGAGTTCCCAATTTCCTGAGATCGTCAAAAAATATACCCAAGTTTTTCTTGATTATGTCTTTCGCCGTAGTATAAGATATTCCACGGGACTCATGAAAGCTCCGGCCACCTCTACCGTACTTAATTCTACGTACAACTGGATTACAAGAATCAGAATTGTCAGGTAACATTTGGAACAGTCGCTCAGTAATAGCCACCGGACAAGTGGATTTGCCCGATCTGGCTATATGAATCGTATTTCCCGATCGAAACTGGTCGTTCTTACGTCTTGGGACAAATATAGACATACCATGCATGCGAAACAATTTCTATATGCTTTAGTTGAATGGCCAGTATTTCACTTATACGTAAGAACCCACTGTAGCCAACTAGAACAATAAAGAGTAGACGAAGATCGGCTGGAGATGCGGTGCTGTGGCCATGCATGTCCACCAACTGTCGCAACATGTTGGGTTGAATAGGCTCTTTCGGTTGTCTCGGCTTTGCAAGAATTCTTTTACAACCTTCATAAGTTGATTTGACAATTGGATGATCAGTCGGAGATGGGAATCCAGCCATGAATGTCCCCATCGAATACTATAAAAAGCGGTATCGATTGGAGAAGAAGTCTGAGCAGATTCTAACAGATCACGTAGATACAACGCAACACACATTGGTTGAGCTGGAAGATAAGCAACACCAAGCTTGGACTCAGACCACGTCTTCCAACGATTCCAAGCATAAGCATAATGTAACGTAGTAGTCCGAGCTTTGGCACTCAACACGACTTTGGGAAGTGATGACGCCAAACGCAACAGTGAAGGATCCTGAATCTGAAGACAATCTTTCCACACACCAACTCGAAATTCGTCTAAATCAACATCGATAAATAGTATATAAATAGCAAAACTGGAAAATGCGTACAGCTCATTCAAGGCATATTACGCCAAACAATGACAAGACAAAACGACAAGGTCAACTACACACTCTTTATTCTTAGCTCGAAAGAGCACAAAATAATGAAATAGGCCAAAAATTGGCATCGGCGCTAAAAGCCACGAACTGCTAACATGCAATTCGCAAAGCTAACAAGTCAAAGCTTGGTGTACCCATGAAAACCGATGGCTTGCTCTGATATGCAATTAACTGCCCTTTACCAGGAATACACATCTGTGGACACTTAGGTAAATCTTCACTTTAATAAATGAAGCATACCGCCCTGGCCCGGGCATAATCATAGGCCAAAAAATGGCCAAAGGCCAATATGGCACAATAAGCGTGCCTTTACCCTTGCAGCTGCACATATGCCGAATCGTAGGTATAACTAAAGATACTGGCGGGCACAACCAATTTGTGTCGTTTGACCAATTTTGAGTAAAACAATCAACCGCCTCAGCGTCTGGACACCAAAAACGTGAATTGAATCGCGGCAATTGCTTATTATGACTAGAGGCAAACCGATCGATGGTGAAAGGACCCCATTTGGCATGTAATAAGTTGAATAATTGTGGTTGTAACTGCCAATCATCTAAATCAGTTGTTTTGCTTAATGCATCAGCAATCTGATTTTGTGTTCGAGGTATCCATTGCGATTCAATCTGTATGTCATTAAAAAAACAAAGGTTGAAAATTTCAACTGCAATGTGTTGAAGTTCGGGTACCCTACTACCAACTAGAACGATGCGACATGCACTTTGACTGTCTGAAAATACTTTTATCCTCTTATGCTCTAAATGCTTGAGGAATACTTTTAACACCTGCAATATAGCTAACAATTCTCGGAATCTTGAACTTTTGACTTTTTGTTGCAAAGTCCAATGGCCCTGAGCTTTAAATTCATGCATTGAGGCCAAATAACCACCGTAACCAAAGCTACTAGCATCTGTATAAATATAGAGTGGTTCGGCCGACACCTTGGGCGTCATGGAGTACCCATTAAGACAGCCAAGATTAGTTAACCAAAATCTTAATTCTTCAACTAAGAGAGGCGGAATATCAGTAATGTAATCAGACCAGGAGCCTCGCTGGGAAATCGTATAAAAAAGCTAAATAGAGAGAATTAATAAACCCAGCAATTTTAGCAAGTTCTCTATATGAAATACACTTTGAGGACAAAACAGACTCAATATTTTTCTTAGCTTTCTCTATCTTGCGAGGCGGAATTTCAAAATGAAAATTAATGGTATTAATGATAAGGCCAAGCCATTCCCCAACCTGCATTGGTTCCCAATGACACTTCTCATCATTAGCAACCAAACCGGATAAAGTTAGATCGTTCTTGTGAATTATACTAGCAGCGACAGCATCTAAGCGTTGTTTATGCCCCGAGATCCCATCGTCCAAATAAACAAAGGCGGCATGAGACATTCCGCGCCATCTCTATATTAATGGACGCAATAGTTTAGTGAAACAATTACATGCCGAAGCAAGGCCAAACGGCAACACAGAAAATGTGAAATATCGCACTGCGCCATTAAAAACCCATGCAAACCCTAAAAATTTTCTATTCGGGGCATAAATGTCGACATGGTGGTAACCAGATTTTAAATCCCAGGTAAAAAACCAAAATTTTTCTTCAAACAACTGAGCTAGCGATCTGAGATCCTCGTAGCGAAAAGGCTGTGCGGACAGATGTTTATTAACATTCCGCAGATCTAAAACTAATCTTAGCTTTTTTCCTTTAACAACCGACAATGGGTTTATGCAGTATGGCGGCTCTACATGCTCGGCGATGTATCCACCCTCCAATAATTTAAAAATCGCCTCTGATACAAAACCGGGGTAATCTCTAGCAGATTTGTTGTTATTTAAAAAACAACGGTCGGGAATTGACTGAAATGGAATTTTATAACCCTCATCGACTATGTCTTGAACGAATTGCGAAGCGTTGAGTGTATGTTTCCAATACATGGAAGACCGAGCAAGTCCGCCGCGAACACTAACTAAACCTACTGATGATTGATGAACGTTATCACTATTTAAATAAAAAGAGAATGACCCAACCTGATCGTCGTATTCGCACACTTCGCCTACGTCTAGTCAGCTGGCGGCTGGCCTTGCACGAGGAATTGCTGCTGCCTGCTGTCCCTTGCATGTGACAGTTCCTCTGAAGGTGACCGTATTGTAAACACTGTGAAAGAAAATAGATATAAAGATAAATACACGGATATATATATACCGACATACAAACAGTATACACACATAACGTAATTTATGAGGAATGGCTGATAATAATCAAGTGATGAAGTAAATTTAACTGTGTAACGTGAAAGCAGCGAGAGCGAACAACGATAACGTTGGTGCTTATATAGCATTTGTACAACAAAGAAATGCTAATTGCATGAACATTATTCTGCATATCAAACAATTAGATAGCAATTATCTGCTAAACTGCGTAACGCAGATAATTACAACATCTAATCTAATTCAATCGAATAAAACACAGACAAGCCAAAGCAGTTGTGAAAAGTACAACAATGTGACCCACCTATAAGTTCAAATACAATACTTAACTTATAACAGGGGTCGATTTGATTCCCAAGAGGCATGTTATATGAAGGGAAGGGTGGTCGCGTGAAGCTAGGTCTCAAGGAATTCGGAACAGCAGGAGCTTTAGAAAATGTGAAAGGCTGCCGGGCTTTCGCTGCCGACGTCGACTTTGCCTTCTTCTTCGCCTTCTTTTCCGCATTTCTCTCAGCACGATCTATGCGTTTTTCATCGTCGGAATTTTCGGCGAGTTCATTGGTAACATATTCAGCAACAGTCTGCCAGCCATGCTCACTCTTATCAGCTAACTTGATGAGTTTGATCCGGCCATGAATAGCGGCTTTACCTTCTTGGAGAAGAGACATAGCTTTATCTGTATCGTGGTTTTCTAGTGAGGTGGCGACGCCGTCAAAGGTGTCGAGAAGCCCAAGCTGATGCTGGTATTGCTGTTCATTCCCTTTTGACTTGAATACGTGTTTATCCAAGCGAGCTTTTTTGCTACTAATCGCATCAAGAGTTGCTGAAGTTTCAGCGGATAACTCTCTCTTCATAAGCGTAAACCTGTCGTCCACAACAGATGTAAGTTGGCGACACATCTGGGATAAATATTTCTCCATAAAGTCCTTCATATCAGCTGGAACATCGGTCTGAGCCATGTTTAACTGTGTAACGTGAAAGCAGCGAGAGCGAACAACGATAACGTTGGTGCTTATATAGCATTTGTACAACAAAGAAATGCTAATTGCATGAACATTATTCTGCATATCAAACAATTAGATAGCAATTATCTGCTAAACTGCGTAACGCAGATAATTACAACTTTTGCGAAATTGAGAGCAATTTCAAATCTGTTCAGTTTTTTTTTATACGCCCTTTATATATATATATATATATATATATATATATATATATATATATATATATATATATATATATATATATATATATATATATATATATATATATATATATATATATATATATATATATATATATATATATATATATATATATATATGTAATATATATATATA